AATTTTCCTTTTTGTGCCTACCCTCTCATAAATAACCGTTCCAACTTGTGATCAAATGGTCAAGTTTGTTCCTGGTGTTTCACCATTGCAGAAGTATGTTTTGCAAAGCATGATTAAGCTCTGGACAGTCCATCTTCTGGCAGGTGAACTGAAGGCATCAGGAGTAGCTAAGGGTTGTGTGACCTGTTTAAACCCTAAAATATCTCCAATATATAATGTTATCTGTGTATATGCAAATATTTAGACACTTGAGATACTGCCATCCAGGCTTTGGCAAAAGAGGCTGGACTTCAACTGTAAATTTTAACCTTGGGGTTTTGTAAAGAAAAAAAAGCAAACAAAACTGGAAAATCTAAATTCAACTAGAAGTTTTGTTAAAATGAATCTACTCTTTTCTGACAATCAGTAAATTACACAGGTACATTATTATATCTGTGACAACTGCAGCATCTTTGTGGTATGAAAGCCCTACCAGCTGGTAGCAACGTCAAGAAAGTTTGAGCATTTCCTTTCTTTCAAATGCTTCCTCAAAACCCACTTCTTTTGAGGCTCTTTTATGCACTTGCAGTGTTAAATGAGGCAACTACATATTACAGTGTGCTTCTCTCCCTCTCTCTTGCCAATATGTATGGTTCTACAATTTTAGGCTTTGCTCTTGTAGTGGCCTCTGTAGGATGCTGATACCATCTGCATCATCCACTCTCGTAGAATGGTGCAAATAAATAACAATCTCTACATCTTCTTCTTCTGCATCCTTCTAGTAGTAATCCTTCTAATCTTGCTTTTGTAAAAGTGTGTATGTGTTTCAGTAATATTACTGTTTTATCTCTGACAAATATCTTACCAGATTGAGTTTGGGACCTTAGGTTTCAAATGTGGCAGGGAAGTTTAGGTGGTTCGTTCCATTCCCCGCCTTCCTAAGGACCTTTGACAAACTCTCATTTTCTTAGAGTAATGGTTCTTACTCGCCTTGGTGAGTCACATCAGTGATCCATACGATTCCCAGTTGCTGTTCACATGGCGAAGTGGCTTTTATGCCAGTTTTTATATCAGTTTAATCCTCCAGCTTTTGTTTAACTTGAAGCAAGCAGGTATTTTCCTGGCTTCTTTGGGTCTCAGAATTCTAAATAAAAAATTCAATTAAAGGATACCATTGCCACTGTTGGCAGGTTAACCAGTATATGTCATTAGCACATAAGAACCTGCAAGACTGTACTGGACAGACTAACCAGTGGCATAAACCACCTTGTCCAAGCTCAAAGCATCAAAGCTAAATAATGAATTGTGTGGATCATGGGAAGGGCATTTTCAAGCTTTATCTGTTCTAGCAGACTGACAGTGACTTTCAACCCCAGAGCATGGGTAAGCCTATGAAAGCCTGCCAGAGCACAATGTACTTCACCAGAGTGCAGTGTCTTGTTAATGGAGGGAACTGAGTAATCAGATTTTGAAAAGGAGGGGATTTGCTTTGAAAAGGGTGGGAATCTGTGGAGGTGGCTAACGTTGTGAAAGTCCACTTTGTATAAGATCTTCAGTTTCGCTTTCCGTAACATCTATATAAGCCTGAAACACAGTAACACTTGTACTCTATTGCATACAACTGTTCATCAGGGAGGAATAACTTTTCAAAGAAAGTATTCCGTTTTGTCTTTTAAAGATGCAGGTAGCTTTCTGTCTTCCTTTTTGTCTTAAATCTTTCCCGGTAAGATGGCACACATTCTTTAGTTTTATCCTCATTTCTCAGGTCAAACCAAGCCATAGTCAGCATATAAACCAGAGCAGGTAGAGTACGGAGAAAAATTCTAATGTCTGTGTAGAGGACAAGTACAGAAGGTATCTGTGTGTATGGTGTACTAATAAAAATATATCTAGTATATCACTTTTCATTCACCGGATCATGACGCTGGTCTGAATCCAGCACAATGCAAAACATTTCAAGGGCCATGATAACCTGACTTGACACTGCTAAGGTTGATTTAATGAAGAATAATTACTTCCTTTCTTATGTAGCTTGAGATGTAACAGCTTGTGCCAGTGGAAGTTACTTTGGATCAAATTTGCACCTCTCTGGTAGTGCTGTTTGTGCCTGTTGGGGCAGTTGCTATGACCAGCTGGGAACGCTAGTGGACAAGCTTCATTCCAGCAAAGCATATCTGACCCCTTGTTTCCTCCAGTGGAGAGAAGTTACATAGTTGGTGCAGTTTATATGATGTCCAAGGACTGACCCATACTGGAGAAATCTTCTGATACGATTAAATAATTGCATAATTTATTAAATAAATACCTCTTTTACTTTAAATCTGGGAAAATGCAAGCTGATTTGCTTTATCAGCTCTACTCAATCAACTACTGTCATGAGCCTCCCACTGTCAGTACTGATGTGTTGTATTGCTTCTTTAACACCTCACCTACCACCTACAATATTGTCATTATAATTAAAGTAATCAAAACTAGGGCTCATTTTGCAAATCCTTGTCATTCAGGTTTTGGTTTTGCAAACTGAACCCCTATTGATTCCAACTTATTCCAGGATTTGTAGGCGATAGCGATATACAGTGTGACTGCATTCATTGTTAGGATTAGTAAATAATGAATAGTAATCAGTCACTTTCAGAATGTCTTATTCTTCACCATCACAAAATCAATAAAAAGAGGTCAAAAAGGTGCTGTTCCTTTCTGGTTCATCTAATAGATGCATAAACAGAATAACCTGTAGTGAGTCAGGCTTTTCTGGTTTGTAAAAACAGAAAACGTATGATGCAACCCCAAAAAGCAATTTAACTCCACCCCAGTAGTGTCAGATTTATCCCTGGAAGAGTCGGGACAATTTTCTCATGCCTTAAAATGCCTGCCTTGCAAAGCGCACACTGCTCGTTTCTTATGCTTTCACAAACCTCCTTCTAATTCAAGCTGTGACCATAGTGTGGTTGGCTTCAAGCTTCCATTTCAGACTGCATCTTCTCTTTGTGTGCTGATAGCCCTCAAGTGACAAAATAACATCTGCAGGGAACACTAGGGCAGGTGAACATGCTGGAACCCTCAGTGGTCAATGGGTGCTGTAACCAGATTGAAGACTAGCTGGGCCCAAAATGCAAAAAATATAGAAATAACCATAGAAATACACCCTGAGACCTACTGGGCTTACAAGTTAAGACATAGATTCTCACACGCATCTTCATTGAGCAGCTCAACTCTGAAACACTGTATGGTTTTGTATTTCATAGAGCTTGGCTACTAAGCGGTGGCTGTGTGCAGAGCCAGCACATATCCTTGTGTATCTCAGGATCTACAAATGCCAAACATAGTCATCGTCAAAGAGCTTCATACAGAATTGGGTCACACCTACTGGAGGTTCTGCAGAGCCAAATTTTCTTTGCCACGTTGCTTAACTTATCAGAGCACAAAGCCAGACAACTCAGCTCAACGTACATCCAGAGTGATACAAGTGCAGAGACACTCTTGAAGCTCTGTCAGAGTTGGCTCAGCTCTAGCAGAACCCAGGCGGACTCTGTGCAAAATCACAGCACCACTGTTCTTTACTGTCTGTGTAATCCAGGTTTTTCCAGAAGTCATATGATCCTTGCTGCTTTTCTCCCTGGCTATGGGAGAGTTACCTGCCTGCGTGGTATTTTTGACATTCTGTTTCCAAGTGAATGCCATTCTTACTTTGAATATTTAACAAGAAATTATAACAAAAATACTACCTCCCTGTAACCGGCTGAGTTACTGTTGTTGCTGAAACTGTACCGCTGCCATTTTTACTTCTTTTTTTTTATGAGCTTTCCTCCATGATGAAGGTAAGATCATCTTCCTGACTTATGATTCTTTTCGAGACACTAAGCCAAGCTTCTGCTTTCCTCCATTCATCTGCCTTTTGTCCATCACAGTGAACACAGATTTTTTTTGTTCCCATCAATCATGATTCATTTTGCCTGTACTATTATGACATCAATTTGTGCAGCACAAGTGAGGTGAGATATTCACTTCCCTATTTTTTTTTTTTCTTCTGTTCACTGCTTAGAGCCTTATTCGTAGGGGAAATGCTCTGTCAGAATCCACAGGCCACTCTCTTTTCTTCCCCACAGATCATCCTGTAAGAGTTCCTTCTGCCTTGGTACCTGCAATGCACAGCCAGGCAACCAAAGACTAGAGAGCTGGCAAGTTGAGATAATTCATTACTGTTTAAAGTTAGTTTTTATCTCAATCACTTAACACCACTCTTTCACTTGTTGCCTTTTGTATTTTGTCATCCCCCATTGTGAGTTGGGTGGGAAAAACATCCCTTTTGTTGGGTAGTCAGAGCACCTTATTTATTTGGAGACTCCAGGCACTAATATTAAATAAGTAACATGCAATAAAGAAGGCTCTCTAGTGTTGCCTTATCATTTGTGTTTGGCTGTTGAGAGGGAGGAAAGAGGAGAGTTATCATTAGTTATGGAGAGTGTTGTAGCTTTCACCTTCCAAAGCAGAAAAAGATGGAGAACACTTTTGTTTGTCTATCCATATAAAATCGTAATTGAGGAATTTGTACACGTACATAGGCACCCAAAAAAAAAAGAAAGAATTTTGTGGTCTTCGGGTTTTGCTTTCACATCCAGAGAGAACTCAGGAACGCCTAAGATATTTGTCCCACATTTCCTATAAAAAGGGGGTATTTTTGTCCTTGCTACCTGTGGAGAAAAAGGCAAAAAATTACTCTTCAAAATAAACCACGTCAAAAGTTGTTGTTATGGAAAAAGGAAGGTTTTTCTCAAAGCAACTGCTTTGCTACCTTAACAGCAACTGTATTCGTTAGCATTAGGTATAGCTGGTTTACATCCTTGCTTTTTCTTGCATTATCCCACGTGCACAAGATACAAATGGAAAACCTTCATTAGAACTTAATGTCATATAGCTTAATGACACACTTCTAGCTTGTTCTTCTGTATGTTTTATATCCTTAGATTTGATAACTTTTACAGTTTAACGAGATTTGAGACTCCCTGTGCTTGTTTCTGCAGGCACCCTAGACAAACATGTAGAACTAGAGAAACTTGTGGCCAAGTTCCTTGGTGTGGAAGATGCTATGGTGTTTGGCATGGGCTTTGCAACTAACTCGATGAATATTCCAGCCCTTGTTGGGAAGGTGAGTACTTAAGTAATACATAGAACAATCATTTATTAATTGTTTTAACAACTGTTGCAGTATTCTGGGAACACATTAAGTGGAAAGGCTTGATTGAGGAACAAAGCTTGCTATCAGGAATGCATGACTCATAAGGCTGATGACCTTGTGACCTTAAATATGCTCCTTCATCATTTTTTCTAGCTCTGGGTGTTGCTATCACACATACCTAACATCTGTTTAAGGATGAGTGATATGGTGGTTTAGCTTCTCTTAACAAAGTTACTTCTCCCTAAAAAGTAAGCAAACATTGCATCCCATGACTCAGGTGTTGTGGGATGAAGTATTTGGGCTACTTGCAGAGATATTGCCCAGCTGCCTGTGGTGAAAGATGATGATTAGGATATTTTTTACAACACTCTCAGAAAAGAGAAAGCACAGTGTTTAGCATTCCTGATGAAGAGATCTCCAGCCAGCCCTGCAAAGAAAGCTGGCAGCAAATGCAAGTCTAAAGTTGTGACCATGTGACAAAAGTTGGGTTCTTATTTGGTGTTGAAGGGACTTCATCTCCAAATTGGGGTGCCTCACACAGAGGCATGAAAATCCACCATCCTGTCAATCACAACTCCTGGCATAACAAGCAGATACACTGTGCTGTTAGCCGAGAAAGCGTACCGGTAGCTCCTCTTGACTTCATGCAAGTGTGAAACAGTATTTCCCTCTTGGTGGAGATGGAATTAACTCACTGTGTGGTGTATGATCAAGATTTCTTCTGAAGCACCGGCGTAGAGGTGAAGTCACTTCTTCACTCGCTATTGCAGATGAATCCAGCTTTTACAAGAGATTTCTAAAATACATGTATACAAGGGCTGGGCAGGGAGAATTGCTTCGGCTGCCCAGAACATGAACTTCAGTCTGCAATGGTGCTGGAGAAGTTGTCCAGCAATTTCAAAGGGAACAGACACAGACAATTAATAAAGGTAAATGGATGAAATTGCAGACATACATAACAGCATACAATACTTGTTCTTTGCTTAGCTATCAAATAGTTTTCCCTCATTTAGCTGGCCTCATGTGGAGACTCAGGCCTCTATCAGAGGTGGGATATTTAGAAATAAGTGGCACAAATGAAGATATTACTATATGTGTTATATAGAATATAGCGATAACAATTCAGTATATATTAATATTATATAGTATTCTTTTATATATATTACATACATTATGTATTTGCCCTATGTTGGGGGGATTTATTCCTAAATTTCCCTCTATAATTAAGCCTAGCAGCTACATTTTCTTGTCAAGAGGCATATAGTTTTACTGTTAGTTCTGCATACCAGGCTTTAGGCAGATTTGTGTATCTCTCAACCTAGGCATAATTTGTGTTTCCAAAATAAGCATTTACTCAATGTTTTACTGCCCTTTGGGTAATGAAACCGCAGCACAAAATGTGTAATAGAAAGCAGAGCTAAATTAGGGTTCCAGCTTGAATTTCAACTGTGAATCCCGGTTCCTGTTAATATAATACACAAAGTTATTTCTCCTGCATTTCTATTTTAGTTTCTGAAAAGAAAATGATTTTTCAGCTGAGTTAATGAAAAATATACTACAGGTGAGCTGTATATGCATTTACCAGAGAAAGATTCTGCCTCGTGCCTGGGCTCCACTCACATCTTAATGGAAGTGGGATTTATGAGGCATCAGTCTGTCCTGATCTCATTTCTGCAGCCCAAAGTGCTGATGTTAGTCCAGCCTCAGTATTGCTCCTCCTTACATTAATGTCATGCAGTCTTTATATATGGGGTGGTGACTGCATTTTCCTTGCAACACAAAATAGACTGTAGACAGGTGATAGAGGAAGCAATGTCACTTGATTTCACTATAAAGCAGTCAATCTCTACTAGAGTTATTCACTACTTTCCAGTTACAGGAAATATTTGGCCCTTTTGCACCACCTGGGAATGCCTGAGAATCTGATCCCACAGTTTATGCCTGCCTTTGCAGTGGGTCCTGGCACCTTCAGAAGAGTGGCAGAAAATCCAGTTCGTGTTTAATACTTAGAGCTTAATTGGTTCAATGCTGTATCATAGACACACGTGTATGCTGACACACACATGCACACAGGTCAACAGCCTGCCAGTTCACACAGATGCTTATTGTACTCCTTCTCCACAGGGCTGCCTCATTTTAAGTGATGAGTTGAACCACACTTCTCTCGTTCTTGGTGCGAGACTTTCAGGTGCTACTATTAGAATCTTCAAGCATAATAGTGAGTATTGAAGTTGGAAATATTTAGAGACAGAAGAGTTGTTCACACCTCAAAGGCAAGAATGCTTCCTTTCAATGCTTTCTTTGCTGTCAGTTCCCAGATAACAGTATTGTCCAGGCAGAAGGATTAACTGTTCAATATTATGAGCGATTTCTGATGGGGAAGAATTTATAGCATAATACTCTAAATGTGGTTGTGCATGATTCAGGTCATCAGGTCGGACCCTGATTTCAAAATCCAGAGGCTTAATCTCGTTGCTGTCTTTTTGACATGCTGAATGACTGTGTGCTGTCATAAAGGTTTTATTGTTATTGTCACTATAGCCAAAATAGTACAAACATACTTACAAAAACATACTCCATATTTCCTGCCTCTGTTTCTGGCAGGTTCAGTGCCACAAGTGTTATATTAATGTGGCATTACTTTGAAACAGTTACCCTGAATTCCTAGGGAGCTATACCAAAGATGCAGATGGTTATATCAAAAGCATCGTTCCAATTCTTTGAAGTGTAATTTTTGTATAGAAATCACACATTAGCTTTGCAATCATATAATTATCTTCCGAATTACTTACGATTTTAAACTTTTATTTAGTTTATGCTGCTGTGGTTACTGTCAGAGACATTATGACTAGCTTTGATGGCAAGAGCTTCTTTTTTTTTTCCATTATTCTCCATTGCAACTCCCCTTTCCAGCCCCATTGCTGCCACCAGGCAGTGATTGCAACAGAGGTTAAGAACCTAGAGAAGTGGTGAGAAATGAGAAAAGACGTCTGATCACCTTTGTTAATAGCTAATACAGTCCCTTCTCTTTATTAAGTGTTGTGTTCAGCCCTGAGGTGAGCAAAAATTAATTATGCATACGCTGTAAAAGGCCTAAGGATCCGTTGGAATGAAAAGCACACTATAATTACAATATAAAGTGTTGTTATAATTAATATCTATTCATAATTTGGGCGAGAAGCAATTTCTGAAGATCATTCAAGAATTAAAGATCATCTGAAGCCGAATGTTTTTACAGAAGTAAATATTTATAGATTAGCCTGTAGCATACCCCAACTTGGTTCACTTCTGCAAATCTGGATACGCTAGGCATGGATGCCATACCAGTCTTTTCTCAGCTCTTCCTTAGTTTGTTCCATGCCTTATCCCATTCAAATTTAGATTTGCATCACATCCTCCAGGATGACCTCTCACTACCTAAATCCAAATGTTCTCAGCCTCTCCACCCACCTATGCTGCATGCAGCCCAGCTGGCTTGTGTCACTTCCCGCAGAATTTCAAAGAACATTCCAGTTTGAGGAGTGTATTACTGTCAACTGCTAGGGAAGCAATGAAGACATCACTTGGAGCTGTCATTCTCGCTTTAAGGAATTTGGTCTCTAACCATCCCCCAATATTTCATTCTGCTCCCAAGAACCCAATACCTAACTAGCCTCTGCTCACACTTACGATAAATTAAAGCTGATATTCTTTGAATAATGTGTGGACCTAAAAATATTAGTGACCTGTCCAAAAATCACTAATCCAGCACTGGAAAATGTAGACAGTCCCTGTAAGGGTTGCAGCAAACATCAGTGGAAGCCCATCCAGGTTGCTTTGGAAAAACTCGTTGTTTTCTAGATTAGAGATCTGATTTGCCAAAGTCAGTCAGTCTTGTAGGCCATTTCCAAGACATCACCTTAAATTATTTTCAAAATGGAAGTGTGGAAAGTTATGCAAATACTGTTTGGAATTTGTCAGCTTTTGTCATCACAATTTTGTAGGCCTAGAGTCTTAACCTTCGTTGCGTTTAGAGAGCACTTCCTGTGAAGAAGCTTCACATATTCATGCTCTCTTGGCCCACTGTGAGTGTCTCAGTATGCTAGTTGCATGATTAGAAAGTTCTTTCTTTTGAATGTTTCCTTAATCGTACCCATGAGTACTCATGGTATGATCACCAACAGCTTTTTAAATCACATGTGCAGAAATGTGTGTATGTGACTTTTGCTCTGGAGAAATAGATGTGCACTGTGGGAGGATAGCAGTGGAAAGCATAATCCAGCAGAACTGCCTTTGTAGGATGTAGTTTCACCCAAAATGAAGTAGACAGCCTTGATCTCTGTGGGTCTGTCAGGGACTAGTGTAATACAGGTCAGTACAGCAAATTAATTAATTAAGGACACGCATTACCAAAACCTCCAGCTTGTGTTGGAAGGGTTCTTTTCAGTTAGGCAGGTGCTTGCTTGTTTTGTTAGATCAGAGCTGTGTTGCTTATGCTCCCAGATTATCTTTCTTGCTAATGTGTGGATATATAACATATATACCAAATGCCCAAATTGTCAGAGTATGTTAGTGCTGTCGTCATGCTTATGAACAGGGGAATTAAGCCAATATACATGTCATACTGCTTGATGCAAAAGAAAAGTTCCTTATGCTGTATTTGCCTTGTGGATGAGTAGAAAACTTCGCGCCTCAAATTATCACTTGAAGATCTTCAATAAGCATTAATTTCAGCATAAAGTAGTAATGTGTTTTGTCTTACTCTTTAAAATCCTCCTCTGTATTCTAGTCGACAAAGGCAATACCCCCTGCCTCTTTTTTCCAAGGACAGGGGATTGATGTTTGTCATTTCATACAGGCAGATCAATGATCCTTTAAAGAGCTTGGCCCTGGGCCTCAGCTGGAGGATGTTACTGTGTCAAAGGCTTGGCTACAGCCCTTTGATGAGCAGTTGGGACAATTCTCCAGCAAGGTGCAGAAACAAAGAGCTAATCTGAATCCTATCCCCAAAAGGGTTAGGGCTTAATGTGCATTTCGTTCTTACTTGTCTATCTGGGGCCAAGTTGTGTGCTGGCATGAGTTGGCTCATCTCCTTTGGAGCTGTGCCAAGTTGCACACACATACTGTTTGACCCAGTAGTGCCCTACACTAAAGACAATAAAAAAGAGGCCAAGCGGTACCACCACTAGTGCCTGAGACATGCTTTCTATGTAGGACAATCAAAAATAAATTCAAATCAGGCAGCAGAATTTGAAGTTACCTTTTTTCTATTACAATGCAGCTTGAGAGAGCAGACTTTTTTCTGTGCTCCTTGTTGCTTACATCAGCCTCTTTTGAAATGCTGGGTAATACCCTTGATAAAACTGCCTAGAACATATTTACTTTGGCTCTGACTTCCTTGGTTGCACATGTGTAGAAGAGACACTGGGAGAAGGGTGAGGTGTGAATGTTTGTTGCAGTTATAAATGGTTATCAAAACGAGGAGGAATAATTATGTAACAATTTAGTGAAGCAATGGTATGTTTTCTGAACCAGCTACTTCCCGAATATTATACAAAAAATATGCACGGCTTGTGCTAGTAACCTCCCTTTCTAACAAGCTTGGCACTGTAAATCTCTCTCCCCTCCCTTTTTCCCTCCGGTTACTGAAAAACTATTTTTAAAAGAAAAATTATAGCAAACTTTCTTCTATGAGAAAAATATTTCACACGGAAGAGAGTAAAACTTGCCATTTTAAATTTGCTACTGAAGCACATTCATCTTTCAAAGGCTGTGCTGTAGCTAATTCTGTAAAACTGTGTTATTTCAAATCATGTAATCTATAATATTGAATCTATTTGTCGTTGCACAAAAGTAAATAATTATGCTTATTTCATTAGTAACCCAAGAAGTAAACTCTACCTATTACCTTAATTATATATAATATAATTCGTATTCTTACAGAAGTTAATGAAATTCTATTTCAATAAGTGGGTAGCTGTCCTAGGTATTTCACTTTTCACACAAAAATCTGAATAGTTTTTCTGGAACAGATGAAATTTAGACCTCTGTGCTTCTCCTAAGTAAAATAAAAGGCATCTGGATGTTTCTCCTTTTTGACAAAACCATTGCACAGGTGTATGAGAAGGTTTTCAAGCCTTAAGGTGAATAACAGAACAAAAATGTGCTGTGAACCTATAAGTCCATTTTTATTTGGACACAGGAATGTGCCCTGCATCCTACCTGCCAGTGAACAGTCCCTTCCTTGTAAAAAGACAGGAATTTACAGGCCTGGGCTGAGAGAAATGCACAGGCACACACCTACAGAAGATCTCTGAGAGAAAGTTAGGAGAATACTCCATTTCAGCCTGAACAGCGCATTCCCTTCCTGTGGGCTCTCGTTAGCACTATTGCTAGTCTTCACCCTGCAAAGGTCACACCACTATGCCACAAGGTATTTGGCCTTTAAGGGACTTCTTCTGTTCTAGAGACTTGTGAATTTTTGTGGATGCTAGCAGCAAAGCTCAGCTTCCTGGAGCCCCTGCTCTGAGGAATGGGTGTAGTGGGATTTTTAAAATACTTTTTTTTTTTTTTTAATGTTAGAACCTGAGCAGTCCTAAATTTATGTAGTGGTGTAGTAGAATTATTTAGTGTAGCTAAAATAATTCTGACCTGCCTGTAAAGCCTGCTTTATTCTGACCTGCCTGCTTTTTGTCTCCCCACTGTGGTGTGGGCACCATTGAAGTTACTATTTCCCAGGCAGTGATTTGTTGAGGAAGCTAGAAAAGAGCTGCGTTTCTACCCGTGAAACGCAGCCAGCAGCACGGACCAACAACTAGTATGCCGTGGGAGGAAGGTGGGATGCTACATCTCTCCACCTCTGCGGCTGTAGTGGCCTGGCCGTGGCCAGTTTTGTGCCAGAAGGTGTCTGATGTTACCCTTACCAGGCCTGGGTTCCAGGCAGCCTCTCCCACCCTCCCCAAGTGACCGGCATGGTGGTCCTTTAGCTATATGGGGGCTATACTCTTGGATGTTTTTATTTCCTGGCCCAGGGAGAGACTGACTTATCACCTGCTCTAATATCATAATCTCTCTAATATCATATATTTTAAAGCACTTTTTCAGACCTTCTGACCTTTATCTTGGTTAAATATTAGCCAAAATCCCTTGACCCTTCCAATAAAACTTGAAAAGCAAAACCAAATAGCTAACCATTAATCAGGTTGTGATTTTATCAAGGGTTTTCTGTCACACCAGTTCTGGGTCTTATATTGGTATCAGGTGCAGCAGTTTTGGGTCTTATACTGGTATACAGGGAGAGTCTATCTTTGTTTATTCACTGGATAGATGAGGGTGTTACTGACTAACTACATCCAAGTGAATTCTGTTCATATCAGCCTGTGTAAGGTGTTGTACAAGGCTTAGGAGTTGTTTATTCTTTCTAATTCTACTATATTTTTCCCATATAGAATCAAGCAACTCAATTGCAGTCATATTTTTAGGTTTAGGTTTGCAATTGCATGAGCAGTCTGTGGGAATGTCGTGACTGCACACAGAAATCGGGCTACGTGGAAGAAAAATTTCCCGTTCTCTTCATTGCAAGGGCACTTCAACGTGCAATCAGAGGAAGTGATCCTATGAGAAGGGCAGGCAATTGCAAGGCAGAACCAAGCACCTTGGTTAGATGAAAGTCTGGCCTCTAATCTGGTGCTCGAACCCACATCTGAAATGAGGATCACAGTAGTACATTCCTGGCTCCTCCTTATGCACCTCTTCAGAGTGTTGTGAAAGTAGTAAGGGGATTTGTGGGTTCTTACAAATCAGGTGAGTGGTGACAGAAGTGTGTCATGCAGGTGTGAGCTGTTCAGGTTTCCATACAAAATATAGTTTCCTACTTGGACAGCAGTTGTGAATTTATGTTAATCCAACTCTGTCATTTCTCAGTCTACACAGTCAAATTAATGCTTTGGAGTTCAGATTTGTGTGCCATGAGGACACCTTAAAGAGAAAACACAGCTACCCGGAGGAGTTGTAGGTAACACTGAAGGAACTTTTAGGCAGCAGCAGGTCCTCACCTTGCAGTGCAAATATATTCTCTAGCAAAAAAAGAAGGAAAGAAGAGAAAAAAGAAGTGGAAAAATTTAAGTGCATGCCTTTAAGCAAGCAAATAAAATAAGGGGAAACAAAAGAGATAAACGAACAGGTAAAAATTAACAAAAAATCTCTTTGGTTGCAAAAAACAAAGAGTTTGCAGTGGCTTAGTACAAGATGGTTCCTTCATTTATTTTTTTCCAAAGGTGTAAGTGGCCCTTGAATTTAAGAAGGGAGGGCAGTGTTATAGCTGTTACAGAGCAGGATGAAAGGCACATTAGCCACCAAAGTTTTGTCCTCCTTGTTGAAGCCTGTGGCCACTATCAGAGACAAGATTATTGCACCAGATAGGTGGACAGCAGCCTAATCCAGTTTGGCGTGTATTTCCCTGTGACACATACAGACGCTGCCACAGAGAGGAGACTGGTATATCCTGCTCCTAGCATGCTGTGTCTGCATTTGTCCTCTCTGATTTGAGAAAGCCATGTCTGACTTGCCAAGTGTGAATAGGAAGCTTTCCTGAGCGAGTGTTCTTTACTTCCACAGAGATTTATATTTATTGAGAGGTTGGGGAGGGGAGTCTCAGAGTGTTACTGTGGCTGCAGTAATCACTGCTCCCACCACCCCATTCCAGACAAAGACAGTCAGAGCTGTCATTTCAGGGAAATAACTCCAAAGATGCTTTTGCTGTTCAGAGCTCTGCCAGTAGTCAGGGACTTGTCAAAGATTAGTTTTCACTAGAATGAAAACCACCTTCAATGGTCCTACAGTTACTATTTAGATCAACAAAACCCTTGCAGTGGTTTCCCTTTGTTGTGTTAGGGGTCTGCAATGAGGGACAGCATTAGAGCTAGCCACTCAAGTCACCCACGAAAGGACAGTGGCCGGGAAAGGTACCAGTGCAGGGAGAGCAGGAGAGGAGGAGGCGAATGCTGCAGCAGACGCTCTGCAGCAGGGGAGAGGTGGTTGCATGGGAGGCTGAGAAGGGACTGGTAGCCACAGAGTCTGCCTGAGCTTGCATGAGAGAGCAAAATGGGAGAAACAAAATGAGAGCGGCAAACACGAGGCAAAGGAAAGAATAATGTGATAAGGGTAGTAGTAGCCTGTTTATTTTAATTAAAAAGGATTCAGCTGACATCACGCAGGAGATTTCCAGCCCACAAAGAGGAATGGTGATGACATCCCCAGCATTGCAATGTAAGGATGAGGGGTGGAGACGCTCTGTCTCCCTGCAAGGAGGTACTGAGTGTGCCTGGGAGAGGGCCGAGGCCCCTCCAGGAGCCTGGAGTCCCACCTGCACTGGAGGCAGCATGACACACAGCTGCCCGCCCAGGTCCAGGCTTGCTTCTACCCACTGGCAGTTTGTGTTGTTAGTATTTCTGTTGAAGCAACTCTGAAGGATCCCGAACAAGGATTATGCAAGTCTATATTAAATTCTGAAAAACCTAAGAGATCCACTGTCCCCACTTAGGAAACTTTATCGTCCATATCTAGACAGTATGCCATAGGGAGAAGGTGGAAACTGAGACAAGGATAGATTTGGTTGTGCTTTGACTAATTAATCTAGTGAAATTCTTAACACCACGTCCTGGGCTGGTGGACAGTTGTTAGCCATTACCACTGAAAAGCCTGGGCTGGTGATGGTCCAACAAGGAAGGACAGTTATTTTCCCCATAACTGGTTATTCAAGATGGACTTGTGCAACTCATCATCTCAATGTCCCAGTGTTTCACAGTCTAACTATATTTAATAGGCAAATAATTTGATATCCAAAAGTCACCTGGGGTTACACTGTTGTTTTTCCTGATGTTCATTATATCGCACTTCTGGAAAGTCCAAGCACAAGCACATAGAGAGCACTGCATCTTCACTTTGAATAACAGAAGCAGCCTTTAGGGGGGAAGATTAAAGGTAACATTTTCTCTTCCTCCCAACTTCCCCTTTTTAAATGAGGCACTACATACACAGAGTGAAAAGGTCAGTAAAATTCATTTGCACCTAAATGAATTATGAGTGTTACAGACCTAAGGAAGGGTCACACATACATATTTTTCAGAATGAGACATCAAAATGGAAGTGAGATAGCCCTGAATCCGCAAACAGACCTGTCCTTAGCCAGTACGCCAGCAGGACTATATCATGTGTAAAGTCAGGCGAGCTCATCCCTCAGAGAGATTCTTCCATATCTGCAATCTCATGTTCTGCTCTAGTTGGGACAGAGGAGCTAGTCACATCCCTATATTTTTAAAACAGCTCTATTAAACAGAGTTATATACATTTCACTTCTCTCTATCCTCTCCTCTTTCAGTGTTAAAAGAACTGAATCTTCAAGCCATGCTTTTAGCTCAGAGGGCTGGGCAAACTGACTTTCCTGAAGTCTAGAACCAATCTAGACTGATGTGTAGACATAATATTGAATTGAAAGACCCTGCGTGATTCAGAGCGGGGGGGTTCAAAGGTCCCAAAAGGGTTTAGATGACAATGACATGAGTAGAGAAATAATGCAATGGGGACACCCAAATTTTACTTTGAGTGACTAAGTGAGCTTTCTGTGATCCTGGGGAGTCCTTTAATGCTCAGAACTCAAAAGGATTTCTGAATATTATCTACTCAAAACAAAAGAGAAGGTGAGCAGCTCTTTTCTATGAAATAGGCATGTGCTGCAAATGCTCAGGGGGATTATAAATTCCCCTCTTAAAGCACCGAGGCACTTCTATTTCCTTGATTGCCATCTAGTGGAAACTGTGCTGTCTGCATTGCGTTACTCATAATAGCATTTCCATCTTGGAGCTCACTGAGCTGTGCAGATAATTGCACCATTAAAATAAGGGGCAACTTATCATGCGTGTTTTGTGCTTTGTAAATTATAGCAAGGTCTTGCTAGGTCAAGAGATTACATGGTAAGGTGCGGAGTGGCACAGGTGTTTCTGAGAAATTTATCTTTCACTGACATGAGTAAATGGTACTAGCAAGAGGTGAGGTATCAGGATGGAAGCGTACAGGTCATAACCTTGCCATCTCCCAGGTCATAGGTTATTCATGATGGACAGTTACTCTGCCAATGGCCTGGTTCCAGTCAGGCAGAAACCAAACTATAGGTCAATATTAATATACCTAAGGTGTATTTTCTTCACTTGGGACAATTGTATTTTACAGATTAGCCTTGTACTATTTTAGAACGTTGTAATAGCTGCATTAAGATATCTTGCTGAAACAGTGGGGTTATATCATGAAAAAATGTCATTGATTTTCTCTACCCACGATTTGAGCTGATCTGTAGTGTTCCTTGGGGTACACTACAGGACACATTTTTTAAATTTTGTCTTTTTCTATATAGGAAAAAATAGTGCCCAGTAGAAAATCAGAAGTTCTTTAAAAAAAAAAAAAACTTTGTTAATGTTTTTCCTTCCTCCTTTTTCTTATTTTTAAATAAAGATATGCAGAGCCTTGAGAAGCTGCTGAGGGATGCAATAATATATGGGCAGCCTCGAAGCCGCAGAGCATGGAGAAAAATTATCATCCTCGTGGAGGGCATTTACAGGTATGTCTGTATTTTAGAAATGTGAGTACTCTTTATCATTTCTGGGGACAGAATGATATACTGAGTGAAGCCAACATTGACTGTAGGTATCTAAGAGAAATCTTAACGAGAGTGGAGGTTACAACAGCATTCTGTGATCTTAAAAATATGTTGATTTCGATTACATCAGTCTGAGCCCTGGTGTAACTTGCTCCGGTTAGATCCTTTGCGTTGTTCTGAATGTTGATTTAGCAAATAACAATGAAGTGGGAGATGTACTGTGAGACCAAGACAGATCGTAAGCTCACAGTGAAGTGAGAGATGTACTCTGAGAGCAAGACAGATCGTAAGCTGGTGTATGTTGTCGCAGATGTGATAAAATTCATGGAGCTATAATAGGTGAGGAGTTTTGCTAAGTGAGTCAGCCGAGTTTCCTAGAGTTGTTTGTTATGCACGGGCAGATCAAAAGACAACTACGCAGAACTAATTAAGTTCTGCATGCCCAGTTCTTACCCACCTGTTGGAATCAAAAACTTCGGGCTAAACGTAGGCCAAGTGATACCAGCACCTTTCTAGTAATCAGTGCTGGGTCTAATGGAATTACACTTTAACAGCAAAAACAATTGAAAGACTGGCTTTCAAAGAATTATGTAGTGGTATTTCATGTAGCCCCAGTCCCTGGAGGAACTTGAATGAGAGAAGTGCCTTTGAGAATCCATCAGATAACATCAGCATCGATATTACCATGTAATTATAGAGCATCCTAGTCAGATAGCTCTGGTGCAGTAGTGTGGTGCGTCTCACACCCAACCAGAAAGACAAACCATCACTAGAGTTGAGCAGCAAAGCAGAGGCAGCAGCCGGGCTCACCATCCTGGGCTTCATCCTGGCAACCGCTCAAGTCAGGAGAAGGTTGCTGGGGAGGCAGCCATGGGGCTGGTGGACGGCAAGGAGCTGGAGCAGGGAGAGGTAGAGATTGTGAAGAGGAAGGAAGGGCTGAAAAGCAGGGATCTGGACAGTAAGACGGTTTGCAGAGATCTAGGCAAGGCTACAAGGGATGACGAGGTGGGGGAAGTAAGAGAAGGATTGTGTTGAGAGTAGCAACACCTGCACCAGAGAGAAGGGAATCAGGACCACTCATTCACAGGATGTGACATGGTTTATGAAAGCAACATCAAACTTCATATATAGTGACCATATCATTTGTTGCTGAAATATAGCCAGTCTGCATGGACAGTCATTTATGCCATTTCATTGAGAAATGCTAGCACAATTGAACTGATTAGCTTTTTTCATGAGGACTCTTTTATGATCTCGTGTCATCACAACTTCATAGTTGTCAGTGCCTTCTTTTTACCTAACACTTTCCATCTGCAGAGAGAACAAATCAGTCCTTATCTAAACACCTGTCACTCAGAGCTGAAACAGGTCAGCAGCAGATCAGCTGATCCAAAGCAGGCTGAACGTCTCCTTTCAACCAGAATAAACAGAGCAAAACTGCAAATAAACATAGCTTGGCACTACTAAAAGAAAGCTCAGATTTAAGGACTTTGATCAGGCGGAACTTAAGTGGACCACCAACATTTTACTGACAAATATTCCCATCGGTCACATGCCTGCAGAAAATGCTCCAGCTGCTGAGCTTTGTTCACTTTTAAATCCTTTACCCTGGATATTGACCACTAGGGAGCAGGAAGGTAGACTGGTGACACAGAAGCATAGATCGGTCTGAGCAGTGGGACAAAGCCACTGTCAGATATTTGCAACTATAATAACTATATTTCCAGATGTGTATTTGATACAGAGTTCTTTTTCCTCTAGTCTTGCAGTTCATTTTCAAAGGAGATTGCGTTCTCAAAAGCTGGAAAAACCCTCTGTTGGAATGCAAAATAAAAACATGTTAAACCTCAGAGAACCTCACTAAAAAGGAACAAGAAAGGGTTAGCCCTATAAGGGCTAAATAATGTTAAGACTCTCATGCCCTGAGTGTCTGTGCTTGTGAAAGGCATAAAGTAAAAGAAAAACAAAGCTCAGCTCTCTAATAGTCTCTCATTGGAAACTAGCCCTAGCAGTAGCTAGGTTGGTTGCTTAGTTGTTTTCGTAGTCTAAGCAGATCAGAAATTAAAGATTGTGGTTTGGTTGCAAAGCAAGTCTGCTGTGACTTGAGGGATAATACCACCACCCCCCCCCGTTTTGTATCCTTGCCATCACTGCCAGCCTGAGACGCACGCAGCTGATCTGTCCTTACAGCACTGCTGGGAACAGACTCACAGGCCGTGTAGTCTAATCCAGTGAGTAGCTAATAACATTTCATATGAAAAAGAAAAACGAGAGGAAGACATATTAGAAGTACTCTTACTTTTTTTTGTGTGCGTGTTCTTTCCTTTTTTGGCCTATGATTTTTGAGAGAGACTAAAATTTTCCAACCCCATATTGGCTAATGTTAGTTTTCTTGAAGATTTGCCAAATGCCAAATTAACGTTCATCTAGAGGGTTTAAGCGGAGATAGAGTGTCGTTAATGTATTCTTCTTACAATAGTTAATACTGCTGTTTTCCCCCCTCTTAAAGGACTTAAGATATACTTCAGGGACAACTAATACAGAATTTAAATAACTTGGTCGGAGCCATTCTCCAAGTTAAAATATCTTGACTTGCAAGTTTGGCTTGGCAAATTTTTACAGAAATGCTTTTTCCAGAGATGCAAAAGAAACACTAAGCTTTGCTTCTTTAAAAAAATATTGTTATATGGGACACCATAGTCTTAGTATGATGAAATTGATGGTATGGAAAAAAAATTGCCTTCTTTTTCCATTAGGAGTATGTTAAAGTGTTTACACTGTGCATAAGCCCGGACTTACCAGCTGGCAAAATTTAAAAAGGGTCATTGTTAGCCAACATGAGCATTTCTGGAAATCAGACGTGTGTTTGAAACCATAAGCTGCAGATTTTGCTTGGTTACAATTGGAGGCAGAATTGGCCCCTGGACTTGGGAAGTACTCAAGCTACATGTTAAATAAATAGCAATACATATATGTTTGTTTGCTTTTTAATGTCTCTGTTATCTTAAGAAGAAAAAAAAAAAAAACCATCAGAAGTAAATGTAACTACTAGTGAAAGCTGGTTCTTAACTTGGACTAGCCTGGGAGCAAATATATTCAATTTGCGTTCCAAACAGAGAGACCATCTAGCCATCAATCTTCAGTACAAAAAGCATGAACAAGTTTTGGCAGTGTCCAGGGCACAAGTTAAACTGACTTGCTAAATCATATTTCTATTATTTAGATTCCAGCTAATGTTTTGCTTGGCTTCTACCATTTCCAGTTCAGGATTAATCAGTTACTGTGTTCTTACATGGTTTGTGGTAGGCTTCTGCTCTCTTGCACACATATTTAACTAGGAGTCAGATAGGCCAAGGCCCAGAGCAGGAGTTATGGAGCACCAGAAATTGATCAAAACAGATTGTTTTTCATTTGTTTTTCCCCTGCTTTTAATTTAATTTCGGTATTTTCCCTTCCAGCTCAGAAAATAGCTCTCTGATCAGTTAGATATTGTCCAGTGCCTTTTCATGTGCATGAAAAGTTCCTTAGGATTCAGTGCCAGTACCGTAGGAAATTTGTCAGGTTATTTTTTATTTCCTGGGATTAAGTGACTGGACTTCCAGAAAAGAATGGGGTAACGTTTAATGTCTTTGGCCAGGGACCAGCATTAAAGGTTAACATTTCTATCGTTTCAGTGTATGGGTTGCATTTGAGGACAGGGTTGGAAGGTTTCCGTAAAACTATTGCTCTAAACTACAAAACAGATATTGTTGTATGAATGTGCAAGGTTTATGTAAGAAAACAATACCTAAAGCAAACATTAAAATGGAATGCATACGTCTTGGGAATAACAGGTCAGGAAAGGAGAGATTTTTCCCAATTACAAACTAGCCTGAAAGGGGAACAGATAAAGTTTTCAAATGTTGAAAGGATAGTGGTACTATAGGGCATGGTTAGAGATGTTGAGTGATGCAGTTATGAAGAAGATAATAGGTTGAATACTAGTACATTAATTTTCCTGACCAAAAAAAAAAAAAAAGAAACTGTGGTACCATAGTAGGATGTAGGAAAACTCTTTCCTGACAAGTTTCAAAATATACTGGAAAAAACCTGTCAGTATCTTGTCAAGAGTGAGCCTGTGTGCCAAGCGAAGTGACCAGCACAAGTGCACACCTCCTTTCTCTCAAAGCACCTGGCTCCACAGTTCATCAGCTGCATCAGGAAGAATCTCAGTGGTTTGGTAGGGATTGAATCAAGCTTTCAAAATTCAGTGATCTCAAAATTTTGGACTATCTCCTCACATCTGGAAGTAGATTCAAACTGAGAATGTACTGAAGCGAGCTTTTGTGCCCACCCGCCGAACAAGGGAGATGAGGGTCAGCTGCAATCCGGAAGCTTTGCACCCCTGCCACCAAGCTAATAATTTTTGCTACCGGACAGGATGTAATACCATGTAATGAGAACGTCTGGCCTGGGCAGACCCAGCTTATGTTCATCTGCATCCAGCTTTTTCGATGTGCCCTGTGGGCTTGAGCAGATCTGGAAATGGATTGATAGCTTTGTAAAAGTGACATAACCAGCCTGAGACAGAATGATTACAGTTCACTTCAGGCTTTCTCATTTAAACTCGGTCGACATCAATATTTACTGAAGGATTCAGTAAACTTCCCATTTGGGCTACCCAAGGGAATCTTATGTGAAGCGAGCTTTACCTTGGACCAATTCTAAATAGAGCGGTCTTCAGATCACAAGCCATCTCCCAGGGTCAAAAGAGAGACCAGGAACAGAATAGGCAGCAAAACAGCTCTCATCTCTGCCATCAGGGAGGGCTGAGGCCTGTTTGAATGGCAGCACAGAAAACATACACGAAACCCACAGCGCTTTATCTACTCCGTGGACATTTCAAAGCCATGTTAGGATCTCTGTCAGCTATTGTAATGTTTATGTCAGCTAGCAACTTTCAAGAGCAGTAAATCAACACTGAAACTGAATACAAGCGCTTTGTTTTGCTAAAAAGCTTAGAGTTCGAAGATAAATCTCCTACTCATACTAGTGAGAGAAGTTTTCATTAAATTTCCTTAATGGTTAAATCTTGCAACAGCCATGTACTGGCTTTATTCTGGGATTCAGCAACAATTTTGCTTCCATTCCACAAATACACAGCAAATCAAACTCTGTATTTTTCATTTACCATTTTACTCTTGTCTTTTTGAAGATAAATGCTGTCTCTCCCATCTGAACCTCCATGAGCCACTAAGCCTAACGATATCCGTGTAAATGTGGAAAAACTGTTACTGTCCTTCTCTGCCTAGCTGGCCTGCCCGAGCATTGCTGGAAGGTGCGGGGTGGGATGTCTGTTTGCTTCCCTCTGCAGAGGTGCTCCTTGGCACCACACTCGCTCTCTGACCATATAGCCAACCTGCAGGCCGACCAGATGCAGCCGAAAGCTGCCATCCCCAGCGCGTACGATGCTGCATGCCCAAGCTCACCCAATGGCTCAGTATAGTTTTTAGCTGACTAGTTCTTTGACTCTGGGCTATGTGAGGACTGTGGGCTCTGCCTTTGTATTCGTTAGGAAAATAGCTGTGGTGGTTCAAGTTGCTTCTCCCCCTGCTGCCAAGTGCCATTTGGGAAAAGTGAGAAAGCCCAGATTTCAGGAGCTGGCAGTACAAGCCCCCCCTTCTTTGTTGCAAGAGTCCGTGGTGCCGATACAGAGCCCCACAGCTGCCTCTTCTATTGCTGGGCAAGACAGAAGGGCAAGATTTGCCAGTAGTCAACCTGAGCGCCAAAAATACGCCTCCAGGCATACACAGCCAGGCTCTCCGAACCTCCCAGTAGAAACAGCACAGGCAACTGTTGTTCTTGGTGCTCCCTCATGCTGTTCTTTCAAGCTAATGGAGACTTGCCTATGGGCAGATCTCCTTCAAAACTAGGGACCAAGCTGTTTCCAAGCTTACTAAGGAGACCAAAGGATGAAGGAGGCCTAAAATTGTCAGAAATTTCCCAAGTGCTAAAAGGACATCCTGCCCCTTTTGTGGTACCAAGATCCAGCTGCGTAGTGCAGCTAGAGTGGCAATAAAACAGCCTGTGGAAGTCACAGGTCCAGGATCTAAAAATTGCCAAAAAGTTGTGTTGATTGCACTGCTCTTTTGTACATGCTAGTTGGGAACAAACTCGATGTTTCTCCGTACCTAAAACTCTTGTAGCATTTGCAATCGGATACACCTTAGCCACAGGCCTTAGCCACGGAGCACTCGTTTTCCTGGCACACAGCGCACTCACTCTGGTTTTCATAGGAAGTATTTAGTGTTTAAGGACCTGCTTGCTAGAGCTAGTGTAAGAGAACATGTTTAACTCATTATGAAATGAATACTGAGTGTATCAGAGTACATTCAAGCAGAGCTGTAGTCATCTCACAAAAGTTTTCAGGACATAATAATCTTCACAGGAATACTATTGATAACTTCATCTTTATGGGATTAGAGTATATTTCTTATTTGTTTCCATGGGCTTTCATTTTGCTGTACAGCTCCTCTGTGCCTTCTAGCTTACAGATGTGATTACCAACAATACAAAAGAATTATCATCTCTCATTTCTACAAATCTCAATACACCATTAGTGCAAGTTCCAAATATTTCCTTTTCCTACATGGCTGTAAGAAAGTAAAAAGAAAAAGAATGGAATCTTTTTTTGCTTTTGAGTAATAAGTAGCAGACTACATTTCCTAAAAAGTACATATTGGGAGAAACAATTGGCAAGAGAGGATTTGAGCTCCCTTTTCTAAATTCTGATTCTGTCCACTGTGAAGACTGGGGCTGCTTTGAGTAATGACACCATCTGTGCATTCCAAGTGGCCCATCTCCTGTGTATATTAGACCCAGGGTAATTTGCTCTAGAGCTGTTACCCCAAAATATTGACACAGTAGCTGCCGATGAAGTAAGCAAGGATCAGACTGAATTACAGTGGCTCCCTAGAATTCTTTACGATATTTGTTTTGTAATGAAGTGTAACGTGCTGCTTTGGGTGGGTATCTCCCCCGCGCTTTATACCTTTCCTTCTCTTTTTTGGCATGTTGAAAATTTGCAAATTTTCAAAGACTTTTTAACTGGTTTTGATTGTTTCAATTCTAAAACTATTTGACTGGTTTATACTCACCTGCGGATGGGAAAGGGTTGCAGTTCTTTGAACTGTAAATACAAATTGAGGTTCCAGAAGATCTTTCACGGAGTAAGGCAATTAATGCCTGTATTTTCTGGGACTTTCTTAAAGAGAAGGAGAGTACAGGATTTGTTGTTCATCCATGAGAGTACATTTCACCCATGGTTCTCTCCATCTGCAGCATGGAAGGGTCCATTGTGCGCCTGCCAGAGATAGTCTCCTTGAAGAAGAAATACAAAGCCTACCTCTACTTGGACGAAGCTCACAGCATCGGTGCAGTGGGCGCAACAGGCCGAGGAGTTGTGGAATACTTCGGTATGAGTCCTGATGATGTTGACGTATTAATGGGAACCTTCACAAAGAGCTTTGGCGCAGCTGGAGGATACATAGCTGGCAAAAAGGTAAAAGGAAAACACAAACATTTTAACATCAAGGGGGAGAAGTACCTTCTTATTATGTATGATGTATTTCATTATCTTTTTGTATAGACTGCTTTGCAGGAGCACTATTCTAAAGTTAGTACCATTTTTGTCTGAATCCCAAATGCACATCAAACAGTCAGACCTTAGTTTCGTCTCATGTTCATCTTATGTAATTTGCTTGGGTTGGGTATTTCTGTGCCACCCTGCTGATTGTTGTTTGCCTTGGAAATGTTTAGACACGTTGTGGTTGGCTAAATATACTTCACTACATTAATTTGCATGCAGATTGCTCGTTACTTTGTTTCACATTTGTAAACAGTGTGTGGAGCAATATTGAGAGATTAAAGCCACAGTTTCATCCACTGATAATAAAATTCCTAAACAGTTGTGGATTGTCATAGTTGCATTTTTTAGGAGGATGAAGAAAGAGGGTTACTGAGGGCCTTTTGCAATAGTAAAATCTGTGTCCTCAATTGCTCTGCGTACATTAACAAAAAAACCTTTTGCCAACAACAGATGTCAACAAAATGTAGAGCTGAGCTTGCTTTAACCGGGGGTGTAGAAGATAGCATAACCAGCGCCATTGTGAAATGTCATCAGTTTTGTTGCTTGACAGAGATATCAAGTCGTTGCTGATTATTTACCCTTTTCATACCCTACTGAATGTATTTCTTAAGTAGCTTGCCAAATGAGTAGGAAGCCTGTTCAGACAGCCCATATGGTTGTTGTCAGGATAACATTAATAAGGGTAACACTTGAGTAGAATAAAAGGGCTATAAGAAGATATGAAGTATATATTTCTTACTGTCTTTTTTGTTTTTTCCCCTAGAGATCTTAAAACAGGCTATCCTAATACATCAAGAATAATTTTCTTTGTTTCTTTTGCTTCCTGAGTTTGTATCTGAAGGTTTAACTCTTGCCAAAGACAATGTGGCTAAAGTAGCTAGAAATTATAGGAAGCCTAGGCATATGAAAAGCAGTATAAAGTAATTCATCGTCTAATCCTTGGGAGTTTTCTTAAATGAAAGTAGGTCACTCTTTTCACAACTGCATGTATCACTAAGCTTTGCCTCAGGCTTCCTGGCCTTGGTGGCACCTGCTCACCCAACACACTTAGGACACAACTTCATTTCCGCAGCCAAAACCACACTGTGGCACTGTTTATTCTGCAACAGCTGGAGCACAGAAGCCTTCTCAGCTATTTGATCAAACCCTTAGGATTACGGTTGCAATATAGCAATGCATAACCTTTATAAGCTTAGGTAAATCTTTATCCTTAGCATTGGAGTTATCATATAGACTCATATAGCTTTTTTGGCAGTAATTTGTGTTACTTTCTTCGGGTTTTTTCCTGGTGATGTGTTTTATCAAAGGCAGTTTTCAAGCAGGCCTCATCCCTTTCTCCCTAACATGATTCAGCTTTTAGTGTGGTAACTGTTACTCTGATGTTTTGCACTAGGAGGTATAAGCTGTCATAACAATGATAGTCTTAATCAAGCACTGAATTCTACAGTGTCCCTGGATTCAGGAGAGTTACTGATGCTTGAGGCATGCCTATGGTACATCAGTGCTTTTTCTAGGAGCGTAGATTGTGCTCTTAGTTATGCAAGGAAATGTTAAAGCAACTATACCAACTCTAACATGACTGTCCCTGCCACACTGATGGAAAATTTCAATTGAAAGAAATTTATATGCTAATAGCCAAAGATAGATCCCGGTAAGGTTGCTTTTCCTGGGTTAGGTCTTGTGGCAGAGGAACTATACTGATGGCTATACAGGCTTTGCTTCATTCCCAGAGAGGAACTGAGCAGTATTTTAAGTGCAGCTGTTCATTGGTCTTTAAATGATTTTGGCTCCTTTATAATAAGTCTTAGCACAGAAGTAAACATTATTCTATTCCAGACTTCTGTTTCAGCTGTAATTGCCCCACTTATAGGGTAAAGCACTTGCACCTGCCTGATGTTTCTTCAGGCCATGTATTAACGGTAGCAGCCAAGAAAGCAAATCAATAACTGGTGAAACATCCTTTTCCTTTTGCATGTTCTCACTCCTGCAGTAGTTAAGAGGGAGATCTGCTGTTTGGCCAGCTCAAAGCTCATTCATGCTTTGTTTTGCTTGTGTAAGGACCTTGTGGACTTTTTACGAACTCATTCTCACAGTGCTGTGTACGCCACATCCATGTGTCCACCCGTAGCAGAGCAAATCATCAGGGCAATGAAATGTCTCATGGGACTAGACGGGACAACTCAAGGTAAGCCACCTTTTGCCATGCAAAGGAAATAATTTTTACTGTAAAATTGATATCCAAATCATCATACTTCTAAGTACTGTCAACTCTATTTCTTTTTCCACGCTCATCCACATGCAGCAGGGATGGAAATATTCTGGAATTCTGGATCTACCATTGCCAGCCCACTCTGCTTTGTAGCAACATATAGAAGTACATTAATTGCCCTTTGAGTAGATTGTCTGACTTTGTAGGAGGGGATCGTAAGGACATGCCTTCATTTACTGGCTAGATGCTATCAGTTTAGCTGCTTTTTAAGTGCGAGTCTTCAAAATGGCAAGCAACTTGAGCATGGTGCAGAATTTCAAAACAAGTAACATATGTTAAATAATAGTAAGAGAAGATGATTATAATAATTCCTGCCTCACTCAGGTATTAATTATGGTGTCCTGAAGCTAGTTTTGAAGTACGTTTTGTACCAAAAGAATCGACTACTTGACATCTTTATGAAAAATTAGGTTTATTTATATTCCTCTCCTGAAATTGCAGATGAAGCTACCATCCAACCCCTTGTGTAACATGCTTTTTATGCAGCAAGTGAGAGAACAACTGTGTGACATATCTATCCGTTACTGTTTCAAAGTGATACTAATATGTATTCAATGTTCTAGGACTTAAATCGCAACCCAGAGGAAAGGGCGTGGGTTTTGAATTTGTATAGTTTTTGTCAGGAATGCCTGAGAATTGTGTCAGTGTGTAACATGCAGTTGAAGATGCACATTCTGCTCTGAATTGCAGTCTCTTTTATACTGGTCCAGCAGCACTGTGCTGTCCTATTTTCTCTTACCTGTGTGGGACTAACAGGGTAATTCTGTATTAGTTCTCCCTGATAGATATGACTGGGGTAAGGTGGGAATGGAAAGGAAAAAGCGTATATGAGAGCAGGTAAGGTACTGCTCTGCTCTATTCTATTGCAGTGCCCTAGAGGCGGTTTCAAATCATGATAGACACGAGGCTATTAAGACGTTTATCGCAGCCCTTCAATGAGGCCAGAATTTACAAGACCCCAGTGTGCAACAGGAGGGATAGAGAATCCAGTCCCCATGCCAAATTCTGCTGAGTGCAGTAAGAAAGTGCAGCAAAACTCCAGTGCAATGTGTAGACAATGAGGAAATGATGCTTTTGTCATTTTGGCAGAGAAGTCAGAGTGTAACAACTGTTTCCAACTTGAAATTTGAAAGGTCAAGGTTGCTTGTGCTGATGCCTATATCCTGTTCAATATAAAGACCATCTCTGACATATTTCTTCTACCTTGGGGACTATGCGTGCAGCCTGCCCTGGGCTGTTCGATGCGCTAGCTGTAGGAAATGCTTGCCGTCAGAGGGCGGTCTTACACTGAGCCTTCCCAAGAGTTCCATGCTTGAGGCTCTCACAGATGCCGTGTGTAAAATATTAAACATGCAGAGCACTTCCAAACCTTCAAAGCCTCTTAAAAATGATCTTCAGCTAGCGTGATTCTGCATGCAGTTCAGTGCAGGCTAATAGGAGAACTTGATTCAAGACGGAGGCTTTTAAGATGTGCGTGTCTGACTGTCTTAGGGCTGAGAGTTGGCAGCATTTTCTCTTCCAAAAGCAGTGTTGTTTAATGACACGATGTTTGTGTTTCTGCACAAAATAAGTGCTTATTAAGTCTTCTGCAAATCCTTTATGAAATAAGTTAGTGTTCTGTCAGTTCTGTCAGTTTTTTAAAATTTGTCGTGTAATATGAAATGCAAATGAATAGAAAAACAAATTAATAAATCATATATCGCGACTTAGAGTGTTGCACAAAGGCTAGCAAACTGGCTATGATGTGTAAAAACGTTTCTTGTCCTTCTAAGCCAGACTCATTATTTTAGTCTATTGGTTTTTCTTTCATGTGGGCCTCCCTTCGTTAGGCTGTCTTGTGGACTACAAAAAAAAAAAAAAAACACCCAACTCAAAAACACAAGAAAAAATGTTATGCTGGACCACACTACAATGCTGTTTTGGCATCAGAGAGAGGAAGGTGGTGGCTTAGAAAGGAAAGGGGAACAGAAGGGAGAAAGCACTGTCTCTTCTTAGATATTTTTGTTTCTAAGGAGAACAGTGGCCTTGGCTGCGTTCTTTTGGTCTGCTTTCATAGAAAATAGAGAATCCTGCATGAGCTGTGCAGTAGAGACACCTGGCAGAGAAGTTTCAAGTGAACTGGAATTGCCACAGGGTGGTATGGACTCTTTGTTCTCTGGAAGCCTTGTTGAATCAATAAAAGGAGTTTATTTTACAATTTATTTCAAATGGCGTTCTTTTCCCACAGGATGATTTGGAGAATTCTTTATAAGATCTCCACTGATGGCTTGTCCTCCAGAGGGCATTTCTGTAATGGAGGGAGCCTTGCAAAAAATACTGGAATGTTTTGGAAAAGAATTAAATTTAAGTTTGCTAGCAAGTTCCATGTTAACTGGAGGGTGCTTCTTGAAAAGAGTACGAATTAATAGGTTGACAAATGTGTTAACCCAGCTTGTTCTTAGATCTGAACTTCATGACTGACTCCTCAGTAGATTAATAGAAAACTAAGGGAAGGAAGACTGAGTCGGTCATTTAAATTGCTGCTCTGAAAACTTTGTTCTATATTTTTTAGCACTTCACACAGTCGTCTTTTATATTTTCCCAGTTATCGTGCTTTTCCATTCCCTTCAATTTCTTGCTAGTTGTTTTCCATTTATTTGTTAAGCAGCTGATCCAGAAAAGAGTAGCATAGGTGGAATTATATAGTGGGTAATGCCAGAGACCAGAAATGCGGTGAATACTGCTTGTGTTTATCCTGGTGTGTATTCAAATGGTTGATCATCCCGTATTTTCTTTCTTTATTTTCAATTAGTAAGAATATGGTTGTTTGGAAAAGGAATCAGGGTGTGCATTTCTGGGACAGGATCAGTATACTGGATGCATGACTGGAGGATATGAATAAATGTGTTTGGACACAGGGGGTTCAGCTTAATTACAAGGAAGGAACAAGTTAGCACTTTAAAAATAATTCTATGAAACCTGAACTGTTTAGCTGGAAATTATCCACAACAGGTGTCTGTTTCAGGCTTCAATTTCTTCATATCAACAAAAAAGGTTCGGTCCTTCCTCAGAAGAAAGCTAGATATACATATGGGGATTTGATAATCTGGGGGGGGGAAAGGAGGGGAAAAACAATTTTAAAACCCCTTTTTCCCTGAATAGCTTCAGTTTCTCCAGGCTTTGGGTTGAAGATCTGGATTGTGAGAGCTAAGCTTATAATTTTTGCCATGTCTACAAAATACCATCTGAGTCTTGTGATGTTCCGAGTCTCTGCAAAAGTCTCTACTTGAAAGGAACAGTGACAAATCTCAAGATCCACTGAGTGAAGGAGCATCTTCCAGCTCAGTGTGGGAGGTTCTGAACAGAGCATCCCCCACCTGGAGCCTGGGCAGAGGACTGGCGCCCTCAGCACCTGTGTCCACCCCACACTGCCAGGCACTTAGGGAGGTGAGCCAGGAAGATTAAAGAGAGAAGAGACCCTGACGAGCAAAGGAGACGAGCAACAGGGAATGGATAACAAGTGGGTGATAAGGATGGAGACTAGGACCAAAATGAGATGCTGCGAAGATGGGCTGGAGGGGCTGTGAACAAAGAAGGCCTGATGTGGGGAAGGAAAGAAAGAGGGAAAAATGTGTCTGCGAGAAACTAGCAAACACACAACCCTCCAAACCAGTGCTGGTACCTCAGACACTCCTTGTTCTTCTCTGTCAGCAAACTGCTGCGGATGTGGCTAGCAAGATGCGTCTTTACCTTCCTTTGCAGCAGGAGACTCCAATTTGCATGAGGAAGCTCTCATTTTAAAAGCCTTGCACTGACATAGGCAAAAAGGTACAGAGAAGACACAGTATCTCCCACAGAAACCACCTGTAAATGTATGGGTATGTCCCATATCAATATTTGTAATAGTTGTGAGACATTAATGTCACGGTAATGTGACTGGCAGGATACTGCAGAGCCCGCAGCCAGCTATTACAGTTTCCTTGTTTTGCCATGTTTTCTGCTGTGACTTGAGAAAATGAAGCACAAGAAATGCTGAATTAGGAGAAGACAGTAGTTCCCTCAAAACTGATATGCATAGTTGTTCCTGCCTGAGAGAGAGGGGTAGGCTAGAGTCACTATGACCAAGTACTTTGTTTCTTGAGTGACTTGTATCAGAAGAGTCAGAATGAAAACAAAATTTGCAAATGTATTTCTATTTTCATGTAAAATCGTATCTTTAGTAGAGTACGAGTCCTGGCGTTTTTCAATGCTATGTTTTACAGGACTGTCTGAAAATTGATGGCTTGTAGAACAAGACACATTTATTCTTGCTAACATAATGTCATAGATACTATCATAGTCCCTATAATAGAGTTGTTCAAAAGTGTATGAACTTCTGGCAGCTGTATTTCCTTTAGTAATGTCATAAGGCAGCAAGTTCCACAGTTCAGTTCATATAGTCTATAAAAAACCCCACCATTTTATCCCTTTTAAGCCTTTGTGGCCTTTTCATCTCAAATGTGTGTCTCGTCATTTATTAGGAGATACGGGAAGCAGAAGTTCCCATGGCATTTACTCTTTATAATTCATAATATAGATATTCTTGATATGTTCTCCTTGTGGCTTCTCATTACACCACTGGAGATACCTCAGGAAACTCAGCAGCTGCCTTAGTGGTTTTATCCCCATGATGAGACTGCAGTTGACTCAGAGTGTTTGGACTCTGCACAAATTTTCAAGTACACCTATTTGCATGCAACACAGCCCCTCCAGCTGTGACCTCGGACCTTTTTTTTTCCCTTTCTGCCTGAGAATACCAAAAACATATTTTTACACTTAAATTTTATAGGTAAAAATAGAACGACTAGGCAGAGTTAAGACTGCTAGAAAATCTATAGCAATTTTCTTGATGACTGATAATAAGCTATAGTGCAAATTGCAGCATTTGCAAAGGCATA